TTCTCACCTCAGCCTTATAAAGCCCTGGCTTCCACATGAGTGGAAGCCAGTCCGAAAGTAGCTTCAAAGGGACCCCGCTCCGCGTCATTATTCACCGAATCTCCCGTCTAGCCGGCGAGCCGCGGAAAAGGATCCGGGTGGATCTGACAACGAGCGCCGAGCGCACTTCAAGCTGCCCAATGGATCCCCCCAGCAACTTCTCAGGAGTGAGTGGTCATTTTGGTGCGCATTATGGTAAGCTTTCACAGATGGCTATCACTGTGCGCTTGCAATTCCCGCTTCCTCTGACCCTGCTTTAAGATACCAATAGTTCACTACTGTCTTTTTCCTTATCCTTGCAGGTGGGTGAAGATATGGACTCGTTCTTCAAGATTGTAAGTATACACTCCTCAATGGCCTATCAAGAAGAAGCGCGAGGAACTCATTTGCTCCACCTGCAGAGCTCCGCTGAAAGAGGACCTCTTCCTGCAGTGATTGATTTCTTGCGGTATCATCATGGCAATCCTGAACTTGTCTCAGCTGCTGTAATAAAATCTCTGCCTGCACTCATTGAACATTGACTCCTTTGCAGTTTCCTGCTCTTGGTGAAAACAGGCAGCGCGACGCGGAGGTTTCGCCAGCAAGCTCCCCTGCACTGTCACAGATGCTGTGGCAGCCCAACACACCCACCGTCATCACAGGAATGCACGCACCCAATTGGGAAGGGGGGTGAGATTGCTTGCTGGATCAGCAATAGGTGAATCTGCTTGTCGAGTGAATCAAAGTGTCATGATCAATGGGGTACATGCACTGTCACTTGTTGCTTGGTCTGTTTCTTGAGAGCATCAGGACCACCATGTCACACCCTTGATCATGTTTCTGCCGCCTTTGGTGCAGTAGCTTTGAGGAGACATCACCCACAAGCCAGGCTCCTCCACAGGCTGCGGATCCTCATGAGGAGGAAGCCGTCTATCACATGGCGAAACTGCATCAGTGGTGAGCACTTTGGTACCGCATGTTCCATCAAGCTATCTTGTATCGGATTGGAAGCCTCTCCAAGACAGATGTTTTCAGGTTACTGTAGCTGAGAACCGCTAGTTCTAAGCTGAAATTCGTGAAGTTCCATCAACTTCAGCTCCTAAGCGCAGCACCTATATCGTCAAGTTGCACGGCGAGTAGCCAGCGTTTGTATGCTGAACGAAAGGAACCAAAGCCTCAGCTTCACCAGCTCCCATGCACGGCACTGAAGTACCGAGGCACTAGCGAGGCAAAGCCTTCAGGAGGACGGAGAGCCCCGCATCAGGCGCTTGTGGTGCTGTAAGCGAATGCCATTGCACCCTTGATAGTCGCCCTCAGGCGAAGCCCATACTCGAAGCAGTGCTTTGATGCCCAACATTCGTACACCTTGGTTGTCAGTGTAGTCAGGCAGGGCTCTGGATCCAAAGGGTCCAGGAAGGAGAACGCTGGGAAAGGAATCTCGGGATTCAAACGCACAAACGGCAAGTCACGCCCAGTGCTTGCTGCCTCGATCAATGCTTGCATGCACCCACATGCATCTTCACCACTAGCTTCAGCTGCTGCAGCCCCTCCCCCTCGCACTTGTATTCGTTGCAAAGGTGGGTCAAACCTGAAAACATCTTATTTGTGTGCAGCCTCATGGATTGCCTTGCTGCTCTGCGCGTCATGATGCAAGCGAAGGACTCCTCGCGCCCTGCTCGGCGGGTGAACATGCCATAAGATCGTGTTCTCATTGTGGCAACTCGCGGAAGGATACTTGCACGTGGTGACGTTACTTATTGTGCCTTTGCCAAGCTTGCTAGTTGCTAGTTGCTAGTTGCCAGTTGCAGTTGAGGGATAGTCGCAGAACTGATCAAGGTTGACATGCGATGCTTTGCGGGTTTCCTATGAGATCAGGTCTATAGATGTTAGGGAAACCCAATGCTGAGAACTGGTCAGGTGTATCATAGCTTGGCATGAGGTCCAGAGAGAAGCTCGGTGTTCAGGTGAAGTCCAGGTCTTTAGCCACCTGTTGAGGTGCAGGCCAGGGCTAAATTTAGCCCATAGATAATCGTGGTGTTTATGAGCGAGATCAGAATAAACCATAGCTTGGCATGAGTCCTGAGGAGTAGCTCGGTGTTCAGGTGAAACCCAGGTCTTTAGTCCCCTGTGCAGGTGCAGGCCAGGACAAGCCCATAGATAATATCGGACTATATTAGTGGAGTCTTTCAGAATGTCCAAAGGCCCGTTGCCACCCCTCCTAGTCGTTCCTGATGAACAGTTGTATGCAGAGGACGTTATCAAACGCCAGAAACGTGTCAACACAACTGTTCTTCTACAGCCATATATTGACCAGTTTGTCGAATGGATCCGGTCTCAGGGCTGGTGCCATGTTATTGTTGGCAGTCAAAGCATGCTGTGCGCCATCAACGATGATCCCCAGGCCATTTCATCTGAATCGGAATATAGTGCCTTTGAGCCTGCCGATTGGGACATGTGGGTCTTGGTTAATAGTGAGCAAGCCGCAATCCAAGCTTCGACGCTGCTTTGCAAATACTTCAAAGACGTGCTACTTGACAAATTGCGCATGAACAAAGATATTCGAAAGAAGCGAGTGTACACAGTGGTAAAAGCTAGCGACTGTGTTGTGCCCATGGTCCTCACAGAGACACCATATCCAGCACGCCTGACCGGGATAGCACTGGGAGAGCGGAAGAAAACATACATTGATGTGCAAGTCATGAATCTGGGAGATGCTTTTGTGCCCAGTCGTTTCCAAAACACCTATGTTTCGAGAGATGCACCCTACCTTAACCTCGAGGGGTGTGTGACGTTCCTCGAACTCATCAAGTCGAAGCGACCAGAGAAAAAGTACAATATTGATGAGATAAGGAGACAGGTGATCAAAAGGCATCTTGATCGACGGCTGGGTGGCAAGAAGGCCGCAGCTTGGTATGAGGGCCTGGCAAAATCATTCGTACAGGTTTTTGACGGCACAGAATTCGCAAATAGAAACGAGGGTATTATCGGGCGTTTGCTTCTGAGGGCGCTCGATCATCTCCCAGGCGGTGCAGCAGCGGTAGAGATGTGTGAGTCACAGCTGATAGAAGCGCTGCGGCCGTGCATCAACGCGACCATACAAGCAATTGACGGGCGGCTCAGTCAAGCATCTCTGGGGCGCATATTTGTGACCGGGGGGGATGCAATGAGGCGCTTCGACAGCGGGATCCGGATCTCAAAGGACATCGACACGAAGATATATGTGCCACCAGGGCCGCACTTGGATGATGTGGTCAGCTTGACTACTGCACTGGTCGGCAAGGCAGTGACTATGATGGTGGAAGAGAGGGCACGAATACTGCCGCGCAATATTGAGAGCGTCATCTGTGGCACGCCGGTGGGCTTCTTGTATAGAATTCGTGACAATGACAATCTGCAGTTCAGACTGCGCTATCTGCCTAAAGAGCCCAACGGTCGCCCACGGCTAGTAAGTATCGATTACAGAATGAGGGTGCGGGTTGGCAGCCTCGAATTCAACCATAACATCCCTGTGCTGGACGTGGTCGTTCAGAGGGCACCGAAATCAACGGATCCGCGCGAGGCCAGCACCAAGCTCCCAATTGCGGGGCTACCATGGCTCGTTGACGACATCAAGCACACATGGCAGTCGAGCTCGAGGGCAAAGCAGCGTGTGTGGGCGGGAAAGCGCGAAAAAAATCTGGATAGACTTCAGGAGCTACAAAGGAGACTGGACGCTGGCCGTTCAGCAAGAGAGGGCAATCTTGGACGGGTTAATATGGGGGTCTTGGAGTATCTACGAGACAGTTCCAAAGCGCCTCTGATTCCT